AACAAAAAAAATATATTGAAAAATATAAAAACAATAAAAAATTATACTTCAGAAGTTAATTTAGTATCAAAAACGTAAAATATTTGAGTAGCACAAGACATAGCCAAAGATTGCAGCGCCATAGCACTGGCGAAAATTTGCCGACTGGAATTCTTTCGGATAATTGACTTTCGGATAATCGACGCTCTACTGTATTATTTATTGTGAAATTTTGCCGCCCCTGCTGCCCCCACTACGCTACGCCCCTGTTTCTCGGCTGTTGCGAGATTTTATTTAGAAAATAACTTTTATATTTTCAATTATATTATAATAAATAAAATTGTGTGTGGCGCCATCTGTTATGAAATTTTGTTATGTAAATTTTTCATATTTTTAATTATTATAAAATGGAAAAAGGTTTAATTTTAAGCGTAGAAATGAGTTTTATAATTAAAAAAAAAATTATAAATGCTAGTAACGAGTAAAATCTTCACTAACCCCCTTTCTTGACCTTTAATTACTAAAGTTTAAAATTGAAATAACGTTGGTATTTTGATCTATTTATATAGACCTTGGCCGTACATGCAGACATTTCGTAAAACGTAACTTTTTTGACTGAAAAAAGAAGAATTTTTAAGGTGAAATTAAAAATATCGATAAAAATCTATATCTCGGGAACAAATGAACGGAACTCGAAGAAATTTGATACGTAAGTCGTGAAAAAATAGTAGATGACAATGATATTCATATTTTGTCCGAATGACGGGTATATCTTTAGTTTTTTAATAAAATGTGAATTCAGATAAACAGAAAGTGTTTTGATTTCAGTACAGTAAGTTTTCTTTCGTTTTGTTCGTTCGTTCGCTCGCTTACTTGACAGTTTGCTTTTATTGTCAAGTAAGCGTATCGTTTATTTTTTATCAATAGCACATGCACGAATACACCGGAAATCATGCTTCCGTCAGAATTTGAATTATTGGTAAAGTATTATTAATAATATATATATATATATATATATATTTAACTTTCGTGTGTTTTGTCCACATAAAAGCCAAATTTTAGAAAATACTGAGATTTCTAGCTTAAGGTTAAGTTGCTGATAAAATGATATAGAAATACCTTTTTAGTTTCACAATAGGTAAAGACAATTCCAACAACTTGAAGATTACACATATGTTACTTAATAAATTGTACACATATCGGGATGATATGGAATAAGTTGCAGTGATTAAATGTTTGCATATAATTGTAGCTATAAAAATAACAATAAATTTATTTTAATACGGTACTTCACTTCAAACAATTTTCAGTTTATTGATTGAATTTTATTTCATATATATGTAATTTTTCTAATTTTTATTTTAGAATTCTGATTCGGAATATGTAGAATCAAACAATCGGTTGCCAGAATTTGAAACACAGAATAGGTATGTTTATATTTGGCCAGATGGCTGAGCGGTCAAGGTAGCAGCCTATCGCTCTGAGAAACTCAGGATCGAATCCAAACGGGTCGAGAGGAATTTTTCGGTGGGGTCCGTCCGGATATGTCAGACCCCATACCTCACCACTCGGCCACCCCATTTAGGGTACGTACCCTAACTGTGTACCAAATTTTAACTTTCAACTCCTAACCGTTTGGGCTCTGCGCTTATTATTATTAACATTATAATTATTATTATTATTATTATTATCCTGATATAATAAACTCAAAACAGACATTTAAAAAATAATTATTTCACAATAAAAACAACATTTCTTATAATAAATATTTCTATGATAATAAATTAAATCAAAATTGCAATATGAAGTATCTTGAATATTTAATGCATGTCTTTAAAAAATAATTTTAATGTAACATTAAAAATAAATTGTTATGTAAATTTTATATAAATAAAACATATATATGACCATGGTTTTAATTATATGAAGTCTATTATAAAATTAAAAACATATTAAATTATGTGTATATGAAAAGCTACATCTTAATTGCTAGGAATGTAAGATTTCATATTTAGCTTATTATCTTGTAAAAAAAAACAAAGAATGTAAACTCTGAGATAATAAAGTAAACAGGGGGTTAAATCTGGTGCTGACTGGCTGTGACAACTTGTTGCTAACCTGTTTTGCATATTTTTTAATTTTGTATTTTTTCCATGTAGGTAAAATTTATTATTAATTTTTTTTATTATAATGGTATACATTTATTTTTATCATAAGGGCATCAGGTCATCACAATTTGTCAGTTTGTTTATGTTAACTTTGTATGCATGGAATATTGTGTATTAATTATTATGTAGTACTGTATTGATGCATTGGTAACTGTATTTATGTATTGTTATTATTTTTATGTATTGGAAATTGTAATTATGCTATGGTTATTCTGTTTATGCAATGGATATTGCATTTTATGTAATAGTTATTGTATTTACAAATGATATTATACACTGACTATTATATTTTATGTATTGGTGTTTGTTCTATACTTGATAATATGTTTCTTTGATGTTTTGTTTACTTTGTTCCCCATACAAAGGGTAGAAAACCTTGTACTAAATAAATAAATAAAGTGAACAGCTAGTATCTCAAGAATAAAAAACAACAAATAACTGAAGTTAGACAAGATTTCTACAACTTGATAAGATATTCTAAACAGATTTTTAATTTCCTTTTATTACACGCATTGAAAACAAAATTCAATCAAGGCAGTACTGAAATCAAATAAAATTTTATTAGTGTGAACACAACAACAATGGTAATAAATAATTACATCATCATAACCAAATGGACAGTTTTCAGTGGGACAAAAGTAGAATTTAAAAGAACCTTTAGTACCTTTAGGACTTCCTCTTGCCTGAATACATGGATCAAATGGTCATGCATAAAGGTATACAGACACCCTACGTTATCCTGAAACAAATTTACCTACAGATGTTGTAACTGTTATTCCAGATCTATTTGTAGATGGCTGAAGCTTGCAACTCATTTGGACCCACAAATGCTTAATAAGCAACAAAAGCAGATCAAATAGGCCAAGGAAATGTGGTAATGTGATGGAGATATTCCTTAGAAACCTAAGCTATGTGCAACCAAATAATATCTTGTTAGAAAATGACTGTTTACAGCCTGTCTAAAAAAAATAAAGGCAACAAGAGACAGCACAGGATTTTCTAAACACATTTCTGTGTCATCATTCTCACATTAATATTAGAGGTGACTGACTGTGATAGAAGGCTCCCCAGACCAGCAAACTGGCAATGAAGGCAGTGTGTCACTCAACAGTAAAGACAGAATTGAAGCACTCATCACACACTAATATGGTGGTCAACCATTCTCAAACAGAACCAGGTTTCATTATTTTTAAACAATACACTGCCAAGTCATAGCAAACCACATTTCTCTGTCATGGTACTACTGTAGACAAAGCCACTAATATTGGAGTGCTAATGGCAGGACACTTAACAGTTATGGTGCATGCACCTTTGCCTCTCTACTAGTCACCTGCCAATGACACAGGAAAAGACAAGGTTCTGTAGTAAAACTTTCATCTGTCTCTAGATGGCAGACAAAGACACTTGCAGCTGTTCATGTTTGTCACACAATTAGATAATCTTTTTTTTTTTTGTAATCATCCAGAGCATGCTTGCCATGTATGTATGCCCTCATGTATCCATTGCACCAACACCTGCTCACAGTCAGGTCAGATTGTCTTTGACTGTATTATATAGTATTATATAGGCATACCTAGCATTCAAAGACCTTTAAACAACAGGTACACTGAAAATTCTGAACACATAGTAATCCTCCATGAGCTTGTTCATAGTACACTAGGGTAATGGATTTTAAGGCTCTCTGGGGACATTACTAGGTGTGCAATTAGACTTCAACTGTAACCATTTACATACCTAAAACATAATGTAATTGCATTTACAGTAATTTCTTACTCATATTCAGGTACATAACTTTTTTGTCAATTAATATTTAATGTTTCACAATTAACTGAATGAAATAACAGATATTCAAACTGATATAAACAAGCTGAATATAACAATTTAATTTACTAAAAATAACAATAGTTATTATTTTTAACATGTTGTTATTGTTATTTTATAATTCTTATATAATCTAAAAGAGGAAAATACAATGTAAAACTACCTTTAACACAAGTTAATAAATTATCTTTCAAAATTACATTTCATATTCAAGTTTTTCTTTAGACAATGTCTAGATCATATTTAAGATCATGTCTAGATCATAATGTTTTATATATATGTTTTAATATAGTATTATTATTTTAAGATAAGTCAATCTTAAAATATGGTATTGATTTACAACCTAGATCGTATGTGTAAAATATTTCACATATATATAATATCTGAGTCACTAAAACATATAAAGTTCTTGGAAAATATACATCAAGATGCTTAAATGAATCAATACTTAAATTAAATTAAAGAATAATTTTAAATTACCTCATAAATTCCCTTAAAGGAAGTAATTAGTTTGCTCAACATTGTGGCAACAATACTAGCAATATGTACAAATGGACCCTGAAATATATATATACATGTATAATAAATAAGTTTACAAAAATCAATTTAAAGCATTTTGAAATTTTTATAAAATTAGATGACTATTAATAATTATTAAAATTTATTCAATCTAAATAGAATTCATATGAAATTTGTTCCAAATTTTATTCAAATAATAAAAACAAATGTAGATTTTCAATCATTTAGTTTTGTTTACTACTTTAAATGCAAATCTATTTTAGATTAATATCATTTATCTAAAATTATTATTATTTCTATGACTCTAAAATCAGTTTCATTAAAAAATAAGTTAATAACTGTTAAATTTTTGATTTGAATAGCAATTTCATAAGATTTTATGATCATATTTTTTCTGACATATTAAAAATCTCTGATTGAATTTTGTCTATTTTTGAAAACACCCATGCCATTAGAACTTCTTGATTATAAACATGACATTCACCTCAACAAAATTTTTTGACATTTGAAATTTTACAAATAAAATCTTATTGAACTTGAAAATTTCATAAAGAACATCTTTCTTCTAAATCTTTTATTCCAAAATTCAAAATTAATGAGAAGAGCTTTTATGTTTAAAAAAACTTCATTACTATGCATTTAAAAGATCAAAATATAATAGATATGTCAACAAACTTTATATCAAAAAATTATTTTCTAAAATTATATATGTGATGTTTTGTATTACTATTCCTAAAACGTTTTGAATAGTTCTTGCAATTTACAGCTTTAATTTCTCTATTAAAATATTGTTAACTAAATAAGAGGATTTATAAAATGGTTACAATTTGAATTTTATATTTGTACAATACTTGGAACTTTGATGAAAAGTATAAGGAAATTAACATATATTTTTCACTCAGTAATAAATTCAAAAAATAAAAAGTTAATGAAATCTTAAAATTCAAATCTCTCATTTAACTTGAAATTTCTGACACAATGAATTTTAAAAATAATGTTAATACAGTACTAGTCCAAATAAAACCAACTTCCAAAATTCTGGAATTACCAGAAAACTGGCTATTTTTGAAACTAGCTAGTTTTGAATTTGGTGGCTAGTTGGTTGGCTATACTACAGGTGTAGTTCACCAAACAGTAGCTTTTTGTTTTGTTTTCCATGGTGTATGTATTGCATGACACCAGCCCAATGTGACTGTTGGCATACAGTATGTTAAAACAGTTTTGGCCTTTATTTTTCATTGTTTATTTTAAGTATACATTTAGCCTGTGTCCAAAAAACCAGAATTCTTCCAGTCCCAAGCTTGCCAGATATTTGGTCCAGTACTATATAATTTCTTTCAATGCTTATGGTAGTTACATTAAAATTACAAAAAATTCTCACATTAAAATACTAAATTAAATTCATTAAATATTATCTTACTTCTTTCCCTAATGGAAGACCACTTGCCAAAGTACACGTCAATCCCACCATCTTTGATACAAGCGTACGAAGTGTTAAATACTCTTTCAACACAACACCTCTTAAAATTGTTTTCATTTCTGGTATTCCAGAACCTAAAAATATACAATTTTTTCAATAACAGTTATAACAATAAATTTTAATTTTAAATATAAATTGCATTCAGATTCTAAAATATCTCACCTTTCTCTTTTTAAATTACTTCTTGTTCATTTAGTTGTAAGTATTTGAAAAATTAGTTAAAAAGTTAATTAAATCAGAAAAGTAAAAAGCAAATCCAGAGAAAAATAGAATCATCCCAAGTCAAGATAAAGTGAAGGAAAAAAGAAAAACCTGTCAGAGAGAATATATTTAAACAATTGAAGTTTTATCATACAGCATTTTTAAACTATTTTTTTTACTACTTATTTACACTAAATCTACACTAAATAATTATTTACCTATTGCTTGTGGAGCTGCAAGATGAACAAAACCTGATGCAAAAAGTATAAGTGTCATGGGGAATGCAATCCATGCAAGATACTGCAATATTGGATGTTGAGTCAGATCTCGATAAAGCCACATTCGAGCTGAAGTAAAACAATAATTTAAAATTTTAAAAAATATTTAAAAGAATAACAAATAGCAAATTTAAAAATTACAAAATTATATTAATAAATTTATAATGAGAATAGCTTCTTGTTATTGAAAAAAAATCTTAGAATAATTTTCTTTCTATCATTTATAAACATCAGTTAATCAACATGGCTTCATTTTTTATAAATATATTTTTTTCTAACAGAATAATATTAACTATATTAACTTCAAAAAGTATTATTTGAGCTTTTGAAGTGTCCAAAGAAACTAATTTTAAAAAATTTTCAAAATAGATATCTTTACTTTATAAATGAAAATTTTCATTAATAACTTTATGAAAAAAAATACTAATAGACAAAAGTTAATTATTTTTAAGTAATATAAATTTTTAACATCTTCAAAAATTTTCCTACAAATAGTAAATCATCAGGCTTCAAGTTATGTATTAAAAGTAAAATAAAAGATTCAGTTTTAAATAAAAATTTTCATATAATTACTTAGTATTTAGCAAATAAAATATATTTATATATTGTTTTATTTATTCGTTGAAACCATGTCTTCTTCTTCTTGTTTCTTCTGGTTCAATGTCACGATTTGGTGAATTTATCGACACTTGGCAAATAATTTAATCATTTACTTTTAATTCATACAGATACGTGTTTCGGGCTTTCGCTCCTCTTCAGTCTGTTACATAGATAGGTTGTATCTTGTGTATATAGTATCTGTCAGGCACCTGACAGATACTATATACACATGATTAAATTATTTGCCAAGTATCGATAAATTCACCAAATCGTGACATTGAACCAGAAGAAACAAGAAGAAGAAGACATGGTTTCAACGAATAAATAAAATAAATAAATATCTGTCAGGCACCTCCCTGTCAGATGCCTTACAGAGACTATATACACAAGATACAACCTATCTATGTAACAGACTGAAGAGGGGTGAAAGCCCGAAACGCGTATCTGTATGAATTAAAAGTGGATGATGATAATTATTTGCCAAGTGTCGATAAATTCACCAAGTCGTGACATTGAACCAGAATGTTTATATATATTGACAACTTATGATAATATTTTTGAAGACAAAGTATAATATCTATCAAAAACTATTATTATTTTTCAATGATTAATTCATTATTAAATTAATATTTTAAAAAAATTTAACATGTAACTCTATTGTGTGATAAATTTCTTAAAAAGGATAACAAGAAAAAAATACACAGTGATACCTCAGTTTTCATTGATAATCCATCCAAAACAATCGGTGAAATCCAAAACCAAGGCAATTATTTCCATATGAATCAATGTAAATCCAATTAATTTGTTCTAGACACTCCAAATACATACCAAAAACACATTTTATAGAGAATAAATATATTGTTTAATATTAAAAACAATAAGAAATTAACATAATGTTTTTGTTGTTGTTGTCGAAACCGTGTTGTATTTATGTATTGTATACTGGCACAATGAAGTGACTTTTCTTCAACACTAGGCAACTTTTCAATCTTTATTCAGTTAGCGTAGTCTGTTTCCCTGTGTTTTGCCTTCTCCATATCTTCCTATTTTGATGTCAACTGCTGTTTCAATTTCCAATAATTCTGTTGTTGTTGTCGAAACTGAATAAAGATTGAAAAGTTGCCTAGTGTTGAAGAAAAGTCACTTCATTGTGCCAGTATACAATAATGTTTTTGATTGATCCAAATTAATAATAACTGTTCAACATCTTCAATTGTTTGCAATCTCTATTTCGTTAGCACATTCACGCCTTTCGCTACATTAGCCTCCTTTATTGCTTCCTTTTTCACCACAATGGAACTTATCATGGATGGCAACTTCCCATACATGCGACTGGTTTCAGCAATCTTTATGCTGCTCTTGTATTTTTCAATGATTTCCTTCTTCAACTTGATCATGTTCCTGGCTTTCTTCTTTGAAGGGCTGCGGGCTTTGAAAACTTTCTTTAGTGCCATGATGGAGCTAAAAGGATAGGAAAGCAATGGAATTGTTTGGCTAGATGCATGGGGTAATGCTCACACAACAAGAAACACTGAAAACACATGAATTGCCTTTTGTTTTCTCAAAATTAGCAGCGAGGTCACGAGGTCACATAAGCACACTGACAAAATTCAAGACAAACTTTTTGCAAAAAATCCACAAAAACCGAAACTGACGAAAACTGAAGTCAATGAAAACCAAGGTATTACTGTACATACGTTAAATTTATTTTCAAAACAGTATATTTATAATAAATGGATGCAATTAAATTAATAACTGTGTTAAATATGATAAATATCATCAACTCTAGATTTCTATTATTCTATAATACCTAATTAATTATATATAAATTTTTTATTTTACTATACCACTATATTTTATGGTAAATTGCAAATATCTTTGTAATTTATTTTTAATGAATTTTAAAGAGATGACAGTAAAACAAGCAACTTTTATATCTGTATCTTGGCAAGCTATATATTCAAGCAAAATGGAATTACTTACGATCTGATGTGATTTATATAAATTTTTAATTTATATATAATTAATTAGGCATTATAGAATAATTGAAATCTAGAGTTGGTGATATTTATGATATTTAACACAGTTAAATTTTATTATGTGTGTATATATCTATTCACAATTCTGTAGGGAATAATTTATCATCAAAGATAAACTATTAATGACAGAATTTTATTTGGCAAATTATATTTAAATTACTCTGACATTAACTTAAAATCTTGAACATATTATTAATAGATAATTATTAGTAGCTGTCTATAAATTCTTTTCCTAATAAAAAAATTTTTATTATTGACTATTTTTCATTCCTTTCTTCTAATATCATACAAAACAATAATGCTATTTTAGTAAAGGAGTCTAATTTCAACAGGCATTCAAATAAAAATGTCTTTCAAGACTTAAACATCATCTTCAGTATCTACTGTATAAATTCACGAAATTAAAATTACATTCCAATCAGCATTCAAAACATATTTCAAACTTTTCATTAAGAATTTAGGCAGACCTTTTAAAAATAATTCAAAATAATGTTCCAAACCTACTTCATAGAAACATGCGCAGAATAATCTTTATCTTAACACAAAATTAAAATATTTCAAAGGAACAATCAGGAACGATCATCTCTGGTTCATCTATTTGTCATGGCTTTTTCATGTCTGAGATCAGCCAGATCCATGGATATCCAATTAAATTCACTGCCTTGAGATTGAATATTTAAAATATGTTGAGTGAATATGTAGTAATTTATAACTTTTCTGCTATCCTTGTTGGATTTTGACCTCTTGTCATTTTGTTGTCTGTTTCTCTAAAATAACATACTTTTCCAATACTGTAGTTGTTTTGCCTTTTCTAATGTCTTTTTTGTGTTTCTGTATTCTTGTTTTTAGAGAATGACATATGATATCTACATACGATGTGTGAGTTTAATGTTCCATTGTAGTTACTGAAATCATACACTCCATTCTTCTGTTCATCTGGGATCTTATCTTTTTGTTGTTGATCAGGTGATAAACAGTTGGAGACATGTAGTAACAACTTAAATACCGTTATCTGTAAAGTGTTTACATACTATTTTTGTAGAATCAATACATAATCCAGTATAGTAACAAAAAAGAATGAAATCCTACTAATTAGTCAACTAACTTTCTTAGACAAACAAAAATCATAAAATTTGTAGAGAGAGCAAGGGAATACTTAACAACAAATAATGTAATAGTTCATGTATTTATTATGATATATCAATTCTTTTAAAACTTAATCAATTTGCAACATTAAAAATATATTCTAAAACATTTTAACAGATTTTTCTTAATGAAATTATATTGGTTATTGCTTTTAATATTTGACTAATATACATTTTATTTGAAAACAATTTGATACTAACTTGTAAGACTGAAAAAGAACAAGAACTATCACTTTTTAAAGAGTATATTATGAATATGTAGAGAATAATAATCCAAATTAATATTTAGAATCTAAGAATATCTTCTAATTCATGTTAAAATATAAATAATAAATATTACCAAATGTAAATAATAGATATTTCGTTCTCAATGGCAAAGATAAAATATCAATATTAACAAATGATATTTTGAACAACTTTTTCCCTTTGATAAGCAACTTAATGTAGAAATTCCAGGATTTATTTAGGCAACAAATCATAGTTCTAAAAGAATTTCTGCTAATTATTTATATTTAAATACATCAATTCAATATAATAAAATATTTAAACTTTATATTCAAGTCTCTAATTTCAGTATAATTACAAATAGTCATTTCTCTCTCAGACATTAGCATGTTTGAAAATGAAAATTCTAAACAGAAGAGCTTTCATTATTATTCAATATTACTTTTAATAAATTTACTGATCTTTTACATAGTCTATCATTATTTTTAAAATGATGATTCCTGAAAATAAAACTTTAATTATTAAAATTAAAGTTTTATTTTTAATAAATAAAATTTAATAAACAAAAATTCCTATTTAATAAAATATTCAATTATACAAAATTACAAAAATAGTCACCTTTCTGACAGATTGAAATTCCATAATCCATCGTGAAACTAAGAATAGAACATATAACTCCTAATAAAGTTAAGAATATCCAATCTTCTCCTAAATGGGCAAATGTATGTTGCCAAAAACTTGAAAAATAACCTATAACAGAGTAAAAAAATATATTTTAAAAATTTTAAATTTTGAAAAATTGAAACATATTTTATACATGTAAAAAAATAAATAATGTACTAATAAAAAATCTTTGATAATCTGATGAAACAGATCACCAAAGTCAANAACTTTTGAGCATAATAAAATATTCAATTATACAAAATTACAAAAATAGTCACCTTTCTGACAGATTGAAATTCCATAATCCATCGTAAAACTAAGAATAGAACATATAACTCCTAATAAAGTTAAGAATATCCAATCTTCTCCTAAATGGGCAAATGTATGTTGCCAAAAACTTGAAAAATAACCTATAACAGAGTAAAAAAATATATTTTAAAAATTTTAAATTTTGAAAAATTGAAACATATTTTATACATGTAAAAAAATAAATAATGTACTAATAAAAAATCTTTGATAATCTGATGAAACAGATCACCAAAGTCAATAAAATACACAAAACTGTTTTCAGCTTCTGCCTTCTTTTCTTATAGCAAGTCTAATTTTGTTTAAAAATTCATCAATGTATTTGTAAAGTTTGATACATAACAGAATCATAAATTAATTTGTTTTGTGTACATTGTGATAATTGAAGTTTGATTAAAAATAAAGATTAAAATTTTAAGACCCCATAAATCTGCATTTATTTAAATATTTATCTTAATATTAAATAATTATATATTTATATAAAGAATATTAAAAACCAAGGTTTGGCAATTAAGTTTCAACTCCTTTATTAAATTTCAAAAACACAAATATTTAAATATATTTTCAAATACTGACCTTAATAGAAAAATTTATGCTATAATTACTATAGAAAAAACAATTACACTCCATACGATTTATGTATATTATAATACCCTTTGCATATCTCTTTCATACTACACTCCATAAAAAATATCAGCTTTGAAGAATTTATATATATTCTGATAATATATTATATTTCACATGAAATTTATATGAGGCTTTCTTCGGGTATAAAAAACATTTTGTTATTTTTAGAAAAAATAGATTTTTAAATTACAATGTGATTCTTTCTATTCAGATGAGAAGTTAATTTATGAAGACATTTGTTCTCATCTGAAACAATTATTAGAAAGAAGTGAATAATAAATACTGCAGATTGAAAAATTTTATTTATTCTTTTTCTATTTTTGACTAATTAATATAAAAATTATATTGTAAGAAACTTTTAAACTTTTTCTATTATTTCATATTTGCCCCATTTATACTTTAAATAAAAACTTACTGTATTTACGCTTATTTACACACAAATAAGAACATGCTCTTATGTTTGACAGCTTGTTTGGGCTTATAAGAGAACTGCACCAATGCATCATTGTAAATTAAATGTAAATGTACCAAAACAGTAATTCAGTGGTATCTCTGTGGTAACCATTATTAAAAATAAAAAAAACTTCTGAAACTATAAAAAAGTTTTTTAAAATGGTGAGTATTTTTAGTTACTTTGCAGAATATAGTGCCATTTTGCCCAATCTATAAGAATATACTCTTATACACACAAAATTATGGTAACTAGTTCAATAAGAATATAATATTCTTTTTCCACATTCCTATTCAAAAAGCTTTAGTTTTTCTTATCTTTCTTATTTAAATATGAAGTCATCATACTGTAATTTATGCAATAATGCAAACAAAATTTCAAAAACTTGTAACTATAATTATAAAAAATATATATAAAATTAAATGATTTTATTTTTAAATAAAAAAATTATAGATTTTAATGACTTTAACAAAGATTTCTATTGTAGATTTAAATAAATGATATTGAATTTTTTAGCTTAAAGCATTATTGAAGATATTTTTTAAGCTCAATTAAATTTAAGCTTAAAAAGTTTTTGTATTATAAAAATTCTTTTTTTATATTTTTTAATTTTAGAAACATAAAAACAACATATGTTAAACTATTTCCCCATATATATCTTTACAATTTAAAAATTATTTGACCTTTGAAAATTAAAAAAAAAACAAATAAATAAAAACTGACTTTAATATAAACAATTTAATTTTTATAAAATTAATTTGTTTTCACACTAACAAAAATTCAATCCATTCAAGAAATGAGTTTGTGAAATCAATATTAATAGAAATTAAAATTTAATTACCTTTGCAAATCCTTTGCCATTTACTTTTATATTGTTTTAATTCTCTTTCAATTAATTTTTCTTCTTTTCTTAATAATTTTTGAACATGTTTTATTCGAAATGCTTCTGCTCTAGCATATTCTTCTAAATTTTTTTTGTAATGACCAAACATCTTAAAATATAAGAAAACCTTTTTAATGTATATTAACTGAAATTTAATGTATTAATTATTATGATACTATTATTTATTGTAATATCAATATTCATATTTCATTTAATTATAGAACTTTGATAAAAAAAAATCATGCTAAGACATTGGTAAATAGTTATACAAGTCACTGTAAATTTCAGATTGTAATAAATTGTTGGCTAGTCAATTCTACAGCTGGTATTTAAGAATTATTAATATAAACAAAAGATAATTTTTTTTCATTGTTTAAAACTTCATTACAATAATCTGTCAATACTTATACAACTTAAACTTTGAATACGTAATCATAAAGTCCAGATGAACAACATTAATGTTACATAAAGAATTGTGGTATTTGTGTAAGGAGAACATGCTGTCTATATTTCATTTATTTGTTAAATGTAAAGAAATACATTTAATGATTTAATAATTTAAATATATGTCTAACGTTAATTTTGATAGAATAAAACAGGATAATTCTTGTTTATTATTTCGTAACTTGTTGGGAATGTCTGTTATCAAAATAATGTTTCAATAATTGATGGAGTATGTCATGTAATTTTTTTATTCAAGATCTGTTATTTTATAGAAAAATTATATTTGCTCATAATGTTATTCTTACAATTTTAATATAGATGACTTAAAGCTAATGGCAATAATGCTAGTTCATATATATATATACACACACACATGCATACACACACACACACACACACACGTATACTAATTATTATATATTTTTTTCCTCTAAAGATGCTTGATTCTCAATTGTTAGTAGTTATATTTGATTACATAAGATAAGTAGTAGATGATTATGTAATCAAAATATATTTCATTTTTGTTTACATATTCTGAATTGACTGATTTTATTAAACACTATTTTAATATATAGTTCTGTCATACAGAAAACAATGCCTTTAATTTAAACAAATGACAAAACAAACTTAAAAAAGAGTATAGATACATAGCCAAATGATCACCTTAAATACTCAGGCTTTGTAGTCTGAGTATTTAAGGCAATCGTTTGGCTATGTATCTATACATATACCAGGCTTTGTGTTGTTCAATATACTTAAAAAAAGAAGCATTTCATTATTTATTTTTCATTATATCAATTCACATTAACCTCTAAACATTATAAAGCCATAAATTTCAATGGATGTAAGATAACCAAAATAAACATTTTTAAAGACAGAATGATAATTTTTTATCTATCATTTTTCAAACTGATAATTTTATATATAAAAAATAATAGTAGAAAAATACAAACAAATATAAAAGTATGATATTTTTCATGAGAGAATCAAATTTAATATTATTAACTTTATCAATAATTTTTTTATAAAATTAATATTAAAATATTTTAAAATAAAATTAAGCATTTAAAATTTTGAAAACAAATTTTTTTACATTTATTTAAAAATAAAAATGAAGTTAATGATAAAGTAAGGATTTTAAACTTTGTTTGGATTTGTTTGTATTCATATTTGTTCACAAATATTATATTAATATAAAATTTATGCATTAAAAAATAATTTTTTTAGTACACAAGTTATATTAAAAAGCAAAACAAATTAATAAAATTACAAAAAATAGCTAATATATTTAAAGTAAATTAATATTATAATATTAAATGCTTCTTTTCTTTTACTTATTTATATCTTTTAATAATTTTATCAAAAATATCATCTTAAATAAATTTTCTTTTGTAATTATTTTATTTAAATGCTATGTATAATATGTTCTGTTTCTTAATTAGCTGTTAATTATTAATCTGTTAATTATAAAACTTGTTTTTTTTTATATTAAAATATAAAGATTTATAGTAAGTTAATTATGCTATTATTCATATAAATAATAAATTATATATTGTATCAATTTATTTCATTCTTAATTATTTACTTATCTTATAAAATAATTAAAAATTTAGCTTAAAATATCTCTCAAAATAAACTGAAAAGTGTTTTAAACAATAATGTTCAAAAATTCCTCTTTATCAAATTGTCATGCATTACATAAAGATAAAAGTATTATAATTAAAATGTCTATTCATTGAATTATATTAATTTTTCATAAAATTCATTCTTAATACTGATCTAGTTTACTACTACTACTCGGTTTTTTATTGATAATTTCATATTTTCAGACATAAGTTTCAAAATGGTGACATCATGGAAAGATCAGTACACATATTTTGAGTGGTTAGCAATGCCATTCAATGAATGTAAAGTTTTTTTTTGTTTTGTTCCGAATAAATTTGATTAAAAAGATATGTGAATTCTAAAACATCAAAGCAATTTTGTTTGTGTTTCTTTTAAATAGTTTATGTGTGGAGTTGTCACAGACTATGATCTATCTTATTTATTGTAAATATAATATATAATGAGCAATTATTTATCGTGACAGCATCACAATGCCAAGATGCAAATTTTAATCATATTTTTAATTTATTTCATTTAATTAAAATATATGCTCTCCACCTCAAATTAGTAATATCTTGCCTCTGTACATCATACTTTTCCATTAGCAATGGAGTTGTGCTGGTCATCTATTTAATACCTTTCAGAAGAAAAGTTTTGAATTGAAATAATGTGACTTCTAGTTTGCATCCACAGTTCATATATAGTTAATCAGGACCTCCTGCCCCTAAGGTTTCCGTATCTGGTCTTGTCTTTTGTCTATCTAACTTTGTTCGCAAGACTAAGGAAAGACAAATGAAAGACAGTGGGAATTTATAGGTCTACAATTTTTTCAAATTGCAGCCAAATATGTGTTTCTGATTATTGCCTTGATAAAATCTAAAATTATACAGAAATCTAAAATACTTATGTATATTTTGTTTTGCATTTTTCTTTAATTATATTTTAAAATATCACAATAAATATATTTATTCACATATTGAAAACATTCACTATATTTTCCATGTTTATCTCAAATTATTTTCTTCCAAATCCCATGTATCTCAAATTATGAACCTAAGTGTCAATTACAAATTTAAAGCTCAGTGACTACATTTTCATAGCATAAATTGTAGTTGAGAAACATCTCTTGCAATACAGTTTACAGTTGTAATTAATGCTGCTTTTCTCTGATTGGCTGTGAGTTTGGCTTGTGTCTTATTGATTGAAGAAAGTCAAACATCGGAAACTATGCCAAACTATTTCTCTTAAGGTATGTTAAAAAGGTTTTATTTATACTTAATGCAGGTATGTACTGTACTTGCTATTGTATTAATTAATAAAATGCTGTACCTACAATCAAACCTATCACTATTTACTGTGTAAGACCCTCCATATCTCAAAACCTGTCTATCTCTACTTTTTTTCTTGTTTCTGTAAGATCTGAGTCAAACAGATTCAATTTATTTTCAAATATTTATGGACTTTTAAAATTCATCTTTTATCACATAGACTTAACAATCAGCGGGACCCTAACAGTAACATTCTTTCTTTTTGATATTTATATATTAAATTATAAGAAATATTATTTAAAAAATTATTCCATATTTCTTTAAATTTTAGCTGTTTTTATAATGTGAAATCAAACTACTTCAGGTCGGTATGTTATTTTCCAGTTTTTTCTTCCTCTTGTGTTATAAATCACCAAACAGTCGCCTTAATATCGGGCTATAATATGGCATATTATAGCCTGATATTAAGGCGATCGTTTGGTGATTTATTATATATTTCTCGGGCTTTGTGTTGTTACTCTTGTGTTATTTTTTAATTCTTAATAATAAATAATTCTTTTATCTCAATTTTTATTTATGTGATTTAGGGTGTTGTTAAGTTAATATTTAACTATTTTAATCTTATTTTTATACAAAGATGAATCCAGAAGTAAATCTTATAGGGCAATTTTTAATTTATATCGTGAAGTATAAGTTTTATTGCTTTAATAATTTCTTAAAATAAACTATACAAACTCAAACATAAAATGTAACAAAACTGAAAGGTAACTATAAAAATATAAAAATAGACATTATTTGAAAGAAATAATGAAGTTCCTGTTAGCATAAAGACCTCTAGGTCCATTCCTGTTTATATGTAATTTATATTGTCCATGTATATGTATATGTAATGTATATTGTTCTGTCCATGTGAGAAAAAAATGAAATTTTGTACATTATTACTTTACAACTTTCTAAAATTTATTTTAAGAGAAATATTTCAAGCTGAATTTTTCATTAAATACAATTATAAAATAATAAACGATACATTAAGAATAAAATAAATAGATAAAAAAATATTTTATGTTTGTAATTAAAATAATTAAAATTTTATGAATTATATGACTAGCTAGATGACTCACTGTAATTTTAGTAATAACTGTTTAAAATAATTATTCTTCAGCCTAACAGATTGTATATATGTTCTATTAACATTTGGATAATGTTACAATTAATGAAAACAAATGTTACGTTTCTTAGAATTTAAATACATTTCATAAATGGCACTGAAAAACTTTATGAACATTATATAGGATATATATCTTAATTGTATTGTTTCTAGAAACCTAGAAACAATTTTTTTTTCTTTCAATTTTATATTATTTTCTGAAAGAGGTCAAATATATTAGTACTAACAACTTAGACCAAGATTCTTATTATCATATATTCCTTACAAAATTTCTAATGTAAGAATAAAAAATGTGTAATAATTTAGAAGTTAGAATCAGTTTAAATAAATTAGTTAAAAATATTCCTTAAATTATTATTTATATTATAATTCAGTTTTATTTTACAGTAGAACCTCGAAAACTCGGCTCTCGATAACCTGGCACTCCGGATAACTCGGCCACACCCTGGCAGGGCAAAAAAAATCCTTAGTTAATTAATTTTCATTATAGACAGCTTTATAAAAGTATAAAACCTCTCATAAAGTATTTTTCTGAGGTGTCTTATCAGGTAAATTACTGTACACAGTGTATTCATTAATTTTCATTTTCATGTAGTAAAGGCTCTATGCCTTCATAAAGGACGT